ATGAATAAAACAAAGGCTTTCAGTGTGATTCAAAATACTCAATTTTCGGACACATGAACAGAAGATAAAATCATTCACGAAACTAGGATGATTAAAACATCAAATCTGATGTAAAAATTTTGTACAGATTTGTCAATTTACAGTAGTACAACTCCTGAACGGACGATAACAGTTGGTCCTTTCACTGCCAACTTGACTTTTGCTGAACCTTGGCTCAGATATGAAAACTAACGGGTAAAGTCAACTGACAAGATTAAAGTGTGAATTGAAGTGCGTACATACACACACACACACACACACACACACACACACACACACAACAAGAACATAATGAAAATGTTGACAATTAGTTCCCACAATTCATTAAAGGACAAATAGATTGGATGGCGACCGATACGGAAAGCAATACGTCAGTTCTGTCACAGATTAGTAACAGAACCGCGCATCGGCAGACATTGAGAAATTTCTGAGGCTATTCTATACTCATCACGTGATAGAAAAGCCGGTTACAGCAAAAGACTAAACAAGAAGTTCAATCGCTCGATCTCTGCATCTCGAAACAGCAAGTAAACAAACGGACCAAGAAAAGTTCTTATCAAGTTTCGTCGATAATTTTAGAAGTGGCTCATTTCCAATATCAATGGTAAATGGTTCAATGGTCGAATCGACATGTAAACTGCGAAACGAAATATTACACAAAACAATATCGATTCCATGATGATGATGAGTAACAGTCAAGAAATAATACGAAATTTAGATAAAAGTTAGCTTGCAAATGATAAATAACGCCTTCCAGCAATAAAAAACAAGTAAAAACTACAGATAAGTGATAAGCGAATATTTACACAAAAATACCATGTGTATCGTCAGCTTAGAAGACCATAACAAATTAATGGAAAACTGATAAACAACCTGAAATAGATGGGCCAAAGGATTGCATATAAACTGCAAACACAATATACGGACATTAAATAGGCTACTGGAATAAAATTACTATGGTTTAAAATAACCAATTTGCAATACTGCAAAGACGACTATGTTGTGGCGTCACCTGGGTAAGTGATTTGAAGCATTTTACCTTTTGTAACATACAATTAGTAATATTTTTAACACTTTTAAACAAAATCATAGATAAATCGAAATGCAACTGATTTTAACACTCTAACAAAATTTTTTTAAGCAAGAAAACAACACATTGACCATACAACAAAAATATGGTTAGTTCGACATCTTACAAATATTTGTATATAGAGACTAAACATGTTAACAGGACGAAAACAATACTCCTACCTCTGCGAGCCGACTCGAAGTCTTCGTGCAACTGAAAGACGACCTTTTCAATGAGACTTTCATCAAGAACAAAGTCATTTATGCCTCTGACGTACACCTTCCATCGGTGGGTCAACGGGTGCGAACAGGAGGGAGTCGGGGAGCTAAGCATCCAAGACTCGTGTCCCACTTCCAAACGCAGAATGCACCTATCTTTGTCTGTACAGCTCGCCAACGCCATCTGTCTCCTTACACGCACACCCACCCACTCACACGTTCTCCACGCAACAATGACTCTGCCGAACAGTAATCTCTGCCGGTGCTAACATCGAATAATTAATTATAACAATATGCGGCGCTGCCACACAGTTGCCAACCAAAGTCAGATTTAAGATTTTCTACAGAATGAAGAGAGCGTTAGAAAATCAAGTTTTCCAGTAGCTTATTAGAGATTTACAGTATCCAATTTATTCCGCATAAATTTCGTACCCTCGTGCATGTACGATAACGAATGACCCGTCAAGGCAAGATTTGACGAGGTATTGCACCTCCGGGGCTATCTTAGTAGGTCACAGCGCTATAGTAACTGGTATCTGGCATTACAGATACTCAAATACCATGAAGCCACAGCCTGTTTCCATGGCCCTTTAGGCAAATTTGTGCTAAAGGGAGGTGCAGTACGTCGTTAAATCTCACCTTTAGGAATCATTCGTTACTTGCCACACTTGTCATAAGAATATCTTCTAGTGTTCAGGCGGTAACATATAAGGAGTATCAGCTCTCCTCAAACATCATTTGTGATGAGCGCGAGATGATTCAAGCAGGTAAAACGATACGTTGTGCATCTGGCATTTTAAGGGATAAAACTCCACGGAGCTGCAGCCCGCTTAAATTGCTCCATTATGCAGCTAGGATCAAGGTGGCGATGCAATACATTATGGATCCTAGTCTTGAAGACGTCATTTTAATAAATCTGGAAAGCTCGCTAACTGTCGAATGAA